TCTTAGAGACTGCATACAGTTGATCATAGTTCCTGGGCTCCCTGTGGTACTACGTCCACGGGTATCAACGGATACGGCTTTCCACAACGATCGTTCATCGTGTACCCACATCGTGAACGCATATCATCAGTGTTTTTTGATCAATGTGTCCATCGGCGTCCACAATCCCAAACAAATCTAGACTGACATACGAGTGATGAAAATTCCAGAATCTGAAACTATTGTCACACAGTGACAGGTTTGTTCAGATTTGTACGTGTGTTGTAGTTACCGACTGCGTCCAAGTGCCTGCGACACTTACAATCAATAAGGCAACAGTGTGAGAGTGCAATCACGTGGCAATAATAGTATAGCAAATTATGAGAAAGAATACAGACTGGTGAAAATGTTTGTTTATAGCGCTGAAACATACTTTATTGAAAAGTAACATCATCTTGTAATCACTGTCTATCTATTTTATAGGACAGTTTGTATCGTGTCCTGGTGCGGTACGTATGGAGAATATGATAATTGAATGGGCAGCAGGACTGATGGGGTTCCCGAAAGGGTTCGGGGGTAATATCACGTCTGGGGGATCAATGGCGACACTTCTTGCTATCACTGCTGCAAGAGAAAATGCCAATGTATTGGCTAAAGATTTCCACAGGTAACACTATGATACCATTCATTCAACAACCGTATACCGGGAAATTAATCTAAGCCGTTTTCTCTACTATGTGTCCGCTATCATGTACTGTACAAAAAACCATGGGCCATCAAATGCTACAATGCTTTTCATAGTATTTTCTGTTCAGATTACGATTTTGCATGATAGTAAGTTCAGCCAGGTAGCTTTGAATGAGAACACGCCCCTCAAACTCTGTATATAGTAAATTTCAAATTTGTTGATTAGTGGAATTATTGGGTCTTGCGTTCTTCTAAATCCGCCACTGAATATCTAACTAGAATCCGTATTTCCGTAAAGATCACCGGAGTGTATATGATATATACAAAAATAAAAATTCGGATAGAATCTGCAGGTCGATTTTGGATTTATAAAAAGGTTATGGTGTATTAAACAGTGACTTAATTTGAATTGGCCAATCAGCAATTGTTTAACAAACAGCTTACAGAAAATACAAGTATACGGAGTGTAGATTTGGCTTGTGTCTTGTTTGCTACAAGCAACTTAAAAACATCACAGCCTCTTGAAAGAGCAAGTGCGTGCACTGCAAATTCAGCCTGAGTCATAGTCTCGCATATTACGAGGTTGTCACGCGAATACCGCAAAAAAGGTAAGGCAGTCCCGTGATGGTACTCGCATGCGATCACGTACTCATGTTGAAGTATTCATGGGCTGAATCGGTAGGACCCACCACCATAACAAACCATAATGAGATGCTTCGAGAAAAATTATTAGGCTCTTAATAAAAATAAGTAATTTAGCTAGGGTTCTTATTTTACCTACAACTCCAAACGCGGAACGTGGAATGTGGTTTACAGTTTCCATTTGATAGATAACATGCTTGCTTTACTGTTTGTGTTGTAGGTTGGTAATATACGCCACTCGGTGCACAAATTCATGTCTCAATAAAGCACTTTTGACTATTGGCTTGAAAGAAGCTGTTATTCGCAATATACCGATTGATAGTGACTATCAAATAGATACGGAAAACTTGAGAAAAACTATTGAAAGGGATACAGAGGTAAGTGCATGTAATATGTTTTTTCTATTACGTCATCATCGCTGTGGGCTCGTTCTACGTTTACGTATTTTTTTGTCTCCTGAATTGTCATAGCTATAACTATAATAATACCGTGACCAATTTTATAAAACACGATCGCCGTGAATAGATGTATCGTTCATTTCAACGATCCATTTCATAATTTAAATAGTAAAAATAAATTCATATGGCGTCTTGGAATACATTAATTACCATTCTTTGTAATCGCAAGTTTATTTTTTTCAAAAACAAGTATTCCGACACTTTCTGTCGAATTCAGTAACAAAATGGAGAAAAAGTAATAATAATGTTTTGGGGCCAGGTACTAACAAATAAGTCGATCCATGCGAACACGTACAACTATGACAAATTCACAGAATAATTATTACTATATTTGTCTCTGAAATACGAGCACCCGTATATTGCGATGCATATATATATAGTTAATTATTCACTGGGCTTTAATTTTGCTTATTTAAATGACTGGAAAATGCGCTTATTAAAACTCAGTGAATATGTAAAAAATTAGCAATAGAACACAAGATCTAAATAATAAAACCGTGAATTTAAAAACCCACTGAATATGCCCGAAATGCTAAATAAGTGAAATTTAAACCCAGTGAATATTAGTCATTTCACAGTATATATGATATTAATCGTAAATTTTAATACTGGACTTTAGCTTAAAATTTCACGGAGTATTTGCTGTTTGATAGATTATACACACGCCATTTTGTAGTCAACACACTGTGGACGTCATGAGACTCTCTGTCGACGCCATGAGACTCTGTCGACGTCATGAGACTCTCTGTCGACGCCATGAGACTCTGTCGACGCCATGAGACTCTGTCGACGTCATGAGACTCTCTGTCGACGCCATGAGACTCTGTCGACGTCATGAGACTCTCTGTCGACGTCATGAGACTCTCTGTCGACGTCATGAGACTCTGTCGACGTCATGAGACTCTGTCACATTCTAAAATCGCAAATCGTGGTTTTATACAAATGTCGAATACAAATTATTAACGCGTACACCAGAACTCCCTAAATGGTGAATTGAACTTTAATCCATATTATTTTATAACCAGGCAGGCTTAATTCCTTTTTTAATTGGAGCAAGTATTGGTAGAACCGTCACTGGTTCCGTTGACCCAATTGGTGAACTAGCTGACATAGCGCATGAATACAATGTATGGTTACATGTCGATGCAGCATATGGTGGATTTTTAGTGTTGGCAGAAGAACTCAAGTCCTGTTTTAAAGATGTTTACAGAGTTGATTCCATAATTATGGATCCTCATAAAGGTTTGTAACACTAGATATATTTGTTTTTCTTGCAAGTTCTTGCAAGCAATTTGAAATTTGCGTGACCAACTTAATTATTAGACAAATTATTTTTGTAAATATTTAAACAAATATTGACCTGAATATGTATTTTCATTTTAATCGCATTTTAGGGTGTCGCCATTTTGAATTCTTAAACTTATTTTTTCTCCCCTTTCCCTCAAGTTTTGAGTTCAAAGTATTGATCACCGGCCTATATTTTACTAAATAGGATATCAAATTTTGTGATCTTGTGAACGTATTTACTAAACTCGTGTAATAGTTTATCGATGTTCATCGCCAAAGGCGTCCATTTAGACTGGCGCAGTCGGGGCGATTAATTTGTTTTTGTAGTTTAAATAAAATAAAAAAAATCGCCAAATGGAGGTGTTAGCGCGAAATCACCCCGACTGGGGGTGATTTCGCAGTTACAGGGGATTTCGCGC